TGTCGGACGTGAAAGAGTTGGTCGCCCTTCTGATTGTTGCGCATGCCTCTGGACCAAGGCAGATTCCCCTTGGAGTGGGAGGAGTGGCCTCGGGGCGAGGACACTGTTGTGAAGCTTCCTGACGACCCCAGTGCGAGATTCTTCCGCCTTGGAATTGTGGAGGAAGCAAGGGGAACAGCAGGGGAGCGTGGGGCAGGAAAGAAGGGCGGACAAAGGTCATCTGTGACTGTGAGGGGGCAAGGAGGAGACAAAGGGAGGGGCAAGCGGGGGGAAAGGAGCAGTGGGCGTGGGGAAGAAGTTAGAGTTGAAGGATTGAGGACGAGTGACGATGAGGGGCTGCTACGCAAGCTGCTCACATCGCTGCTGCCGCTAGTGCAGAGGAAATTCCCCATCGTTCGCTGCACTGCCGATGCCGAATTTCTGGTGGAGTTTGCCGGGTTTCTGGTCAGGCCACCTGCCTGTGCGCAGTGCAATGAGTGCCTTGGGGTCTACAGCCGTCCCATCCCCTTCCTCATGCTCATCACTAACTATGCCTACCGACCTGTCACCACCCTTTTCAACCGCTTTGTATCCATCTTCTCTCCCCTCCCTCCCGAATTCGAATGACTCGCTGCTTGTATGGGTGTGCCTCTCGCTGCCAATGCGCCTGGCTATCTAAGATCGCCTGCGGTGCAGGCTCGAACGGAACAGCTTCCTGTTCTCTTCCTGCTGACTGTGGCTCTAAACTGGGCTGCCCCCGTCCTCGGAATCACGGACCTGAAGTTCCTACACAGGCTGCGAGACGGAAAGGAAGATGATGGGAGGGTGTGGGAAGAGGTGCAAATGTGGTGCCTAGCGGTGGAGCTTGCATGGCAGGGCGGCATGAAGCTGGAGGCTGAGGTATGAGAGACAGGTGCAAGGGCAGCAAGGGGCGAGCCAGTTGGGATGGAAAGAGGGAGAGGGGTTTGCGAGTGCTAAGGGGCATGAGTTGTGGAGAAGGGCTGCCATACCCAGGTTCTGTGAAGACATGCAGGATGATTGTGGGCCTTCCGATGGTGCCAGTGGGAGCAGCAGCCGCAGCGACAGCTCTGGGAGAAACAGGAGAAACCAAGGGAGAATAGAAGATGATGGGACGGGCAAGGAGGGGGAGGAGGCGGCTTATTTGAAAGCGTGGCCCGGGGGAGTGAATTTGGTGGCATGTCTGCGAGAGATGCTGCTGGGGGAGCCGTGCTACTGCCCTGTCTCCCCTGCTGCCCCTTCCACCTCTGCTGCCCCTACCACCCCTGCTGCCCCTTCCACCCCTGCTTCCTTGTCCACCCCTGCTGCCCCACCGATCAGTGTTGTGCCAAACCATGCCAAACCTGCACCCGCTTTGGGTACAGAATACACTGGTACTGCTGTTGGTGGGGAGCGTAAGGTCGCAAGTGGAGGCGAACTGAATGCTATCGAGGGTGAGGGACTCCAGTGGAGGACAGAACACTTCTACAGGCGTCGCGAATGTTCTCCCCTTTAAGGGTGTGCCACACAGCTGCTCGTCTTTCCCAGAGCCTCCTTCAATCTCAGGCTCTACCAGCTGCTGTGATTCCCTTCCCGCTAGTCCCGCGTCCTCTAACGAACCTGCTCCAGCTGTAGCTACCCCAGCTCCTACTGCCGCCCCTTCTGCCGCTGCCCCAGCTTCTGCTGCTGTGGTCACTGCTCGAGGTACTGCTGTTGCTCCAGGCAGCGCCGCTGCCCCATTCAGTAATAGAGGAGCGCCAGGTGGAGCCCCACGAGCGACAGCCTCCATGCGAGCCACCAGCTGCTGCGTGAGCGCCTGCAGCAGCCCCCACGCCTCTCTCCGCGACACCGCCACATACTCTGAGACCGATGGCTGACTGACTGACCCATGGCTGACTGATTGACCCATGACAGACTTACCAATGGCTGACTGACTGACCCGTGGCTGACTGACTGACCCATGACAGACTTACCAATGGCTGACTGGCTGACCCATGGCTGACTGACTGATCCATGACTGACTGACCGATGGCTGACGACTGACTGACCCATGGTTGACTGACTGACTTATGACTAACTGACTGACCTGTGGCTGAATGACTGACCCATGGCTGACTGACTGATCCATGACTGACGGATCTATGGCTGACTGACTGACCCATGACTTACCAATGGCTGACTGACTGACCCATGGCTGATTGACTAACCGATGGCTGACTTACTGACCCATGACTGGCTGATTTTCTGGCTGACTGACTGACCGAATGCTGACTGACTGACCTATGGCTGACGCTGACTGACTGACCCATAGCTGACTGACTGAACCATGGCTGACTGACTGACCCATGGCTGACGCTGACTGACTAACCAGTGGTTGACTGAATGAACCATGGCTGATTGACTGACTTATGACTGACTGATCTATGGCTGACTGTTTGACCCATGGCTGACTGACTGAACCATGGCTGCTGATTGACTGACACATGACAAACCGACCGATGCCTCACGGATTGACCCATGACTGCCTGACCCATGGCTGACTGACTGACCCATGGCTGATTGAATGATCGATGCCTGACTGATTGACCTATGGCTGACTGACTGACTCATGGCTGACTGACTGACCCATGTATGATTGACTGACGCATGTCTGACTGACTGACCCATGGCCACCTGATTATGGCTGACTCCTGACTGACCCATGACTTATCAATGGCTGACTGACTGACTGACTGACTGACTTATGGCTGATTGACTGACTCATTGCTGATTGACTGACCCATGGCTGACTAACTGACCGAATGTCCGCCATGATCCTTATAAAAAACAAAAGGCCAGGCTGCTGCATTGATGGTCGAATTCACAAGCCAGCTGCGCTGAAAACGTACTTGACAAGCCAAGTTGATGAAACAGCCCCCTTGCAGCAGCCAGCCGCAGAAAAAAGGTTCTGGTCAGCCAGCCCGCCCTGCCAGCCAGCCACCTTGCAGCAGTCAGCCACAGACGAATGGTTGTGGTCAGGCTGGGATAGTCATACAGTGAGATGGGTGGGTAGGTACGGTTTCAGCAAGGTGGGGTGAGAGCACAGGCATGGCTTCAACAAGGGCAGCTCACGGCAAGAAGGGGTGAGAGCACAGGCATGGCTTCAACAAGGGCAGCTCACGGCAAGAAGGGGTGAGAGCACAGGCATGGCTTCAACAAGGGCAGCTCACGGCAAGAAGGGTTGAGAGCACAGGCATGGCTTCAACAAGGGCAGCTCACGGCAAGAAGGGGTGAGAGCACAGGCATGGCTTCAACAAGGGAAGCTCACGGCAAGAAGGGGTGAGAGCACAGGCATGGCTTCAACAAGGGCAGCTCACGGCAAGAAGGGGTGAGAGCACAGGCATGGCTTCAACAAGGGCAGCTCACGGCAAGAAGGGGTGAGAGCACAGGCATGGCTTCAACAAGGGCAGCTCACGGCAAGAAGGGGTGAGAGCACAGGCATGGCTTCAACAAGGGCAGCTCACGGCAAGAAGGGGTGAGAGCACAGGCATGGCTTCAACAAGGGCAGCTCACGGCAAGAAGGGGTGAGAGCACAGGCATGGCTTCAACAAGGGCAGCTCACGGCAAGAGGGGGTGAGAGCACAGGCATGGCTTCAACAAGGGCAGCTCACGGCAAGAAGGGGTGAGAGCACAGGCATGGCTTCAACAAGGGCAGCTCACGGACGTGTTTTAAGCCCTCCTTCAAGGCGTCTTTCAGTATGCAAGGCCGAGCAGGCGGTTCAGCTTGATGGCTCTTCTCGTCAAGTGGGGTTTAAGCGCAGCCACTCCTTCCAGCATCGGGCTTCGTCTCAGAGTGGATAAGTCCGGCGTTTTGTTTTGGACAGGATCCTGTCAACAAGGCGGTTGCAGTCATCAGGTTGTGGTCAGTCATCCCATGGGTCGGTCGGTCAGCCATGGGTCAATCAGCCTTGGGTCAGTCAATCAGCCTTGGGTCAGTCAATCAGCCATGGGTCAGTCAATCAGCCATGGGTCAGTCAATCAGCCATGGGTCAGTCAATCAGCCATGGGTCAGTCAATCAGCCATGGGTCAGTCAATCAGCCTTGGGTCAGTCAATCAGCCTTGGGTCAGTCAATTAGCCTTGGGTCAGTCAATCAGCCATGGGTCAGTCAATCAGCCAGGGGCAGTCAGTCAGCCACAGGTCGGTCAGTCAGCCATGGGTCAGTGAGTCAACCATGGGTCAGTCAGTCAGTCACGGTTCAGTCAGTCAGCCGGGTGAGTCAGTTAGCGATGGGTCAGTCAATCAGCCATGGGTCAGTCAGTCAGCCATGGGTCAGTCAGTTAGCCATGGGTCAGTCAGTTTGCCATGGGTTGGTCAGTCAGCCATGGGTGGATGAGTCAGCCATGGGGTTCATGAAGTATCTGCTCAGCGCACTGCTCATCATCGTCTTAACAAGTCATATCACACTTCCCAACCCCGATTCATCCCTCCCATACGGCTCTTGCCCTACAGCATCTGACATATCATTGCAAATGATAGCGCCATGAAGGGATCAAATCAAACCCTTTCTTGCCCACGTGTTACAGATGACAACCCACTGAAAAGAGGTAGATACTGCCTGGAGGGAGGATGTGATGTTTGCATGTTAGATATGTGGGATGGAGAAAGAGTTGCTATATCATGTAGTGTACTTCATTACGAGTAGAACGCTTGTTGCTGCCACAAAATGGCTTATGATTTCCATTTGAGAAACCCATATTCGTTATGAATAGAGCTATTCTAGTGGCAAATATTATGTATGCAACATTCAAAATATGTCATAAACACAAAATATGTGCCCATGCACAAGCCAAAGCTGTAGCTCCCACTTTTTATGTACGAAGGCCAATTTTCTCGTTCCATTTACCTGATCACCAAATATTCTACCAGCATCCATTCCATTTATCTGTTCAACAGGCCATATTTCCCCATATACCGTATGTTTTGGTATGGCACAAACCAGAAGCTCTGGGTAATCTAGCAAGGTGCACGTGAAGACAAACTTGATTATGTGGAAAAGCCACTTGGCATGACCCCTTGCTCTGCACGGGCCATTTCAGCAGTGAAGCTGGAGGAGCCAATGGAACTCCCAAGCTCCGTGTCCATGCGAGATTTGGCCTCGCCCACATGGCTCTCATGTGCTCCAGAAGCTTCCTGATTCAACTTCACCAGCTCCCCCAGCACTTGATTCATGGAGGGGCGGGAGGCCGCAGGCATGGTGGTGCAGGAGAGGGCAAGGCGAGCCCAGCGCAGCACCAAGTCATCTGGTGCGTCCAAGTAGGGGTCATTGAAGACTGTAACAGTATCTGACTCCACGAATGGTGTGATCTGTTGGGTTGAGCCATGTGGACATATGCGTGATTGTTCAGTGAACTACATACTTATGAGTGGAGTATTGAGCAGTAGTTGTGCAGTTTTTGCATAAAATATTCAGACAGTAAGTCTGTAGCAAGCATCTGTGCTCACCCATTGCTTCAGACTGATCTGGCTGGTCTCGCTCATATGCACGGCCTTGCGTGCCGAGATGACCACCAGCATCACCACACCAAAGCTGTTAAGACCAATCAGAAAGAGGGACAGGAGAATGGAGATTAATGTGAGACATTTCAGAGGAGCATTTCTATGCCCTACCCACATCACAAACGAGGGGAGGAAGAGACCGGACAGTGTGCCCGACGGGACGGCCGGACAGGGGAGGACAGTGGAGGAGGTCGCAAGGACTGGACCCCCAGAGGGGTCAGCGAGAGAGAATGCAACGGGCCGAGCAAGCTGCTCAAGAGCCGTGCGGTCACGAAAGAAACAGCGGGAGGCCCCTGAGTCTAGTGTAAAGGTGTGCAGTGCCTCAGTCGACTCACTAACAGGGGACGTAGACACACCAGCACCTAGAGCACCAGCCTCACCAGCACCTGGGGTAGCAGACACTCTAGCACCTAGAGCGGTAGCCTCACCAGGTCGAATGCATGGTATGTGCTGAGTAGTAGGCATCTCTCCAACGAGAGCATCATTCTGAGTTTGCTTGGAAGGTCGTTAAGGCTCCAATTCCTACACTCAAGTACCGACTGATAGCTCAAGTACCGTATGTCGTTCTTTTCAGCATCCTCTGTGGCAACTGTCAGACGGGCCATTTCTGAGCTAAACATAGAGGTGAGAAGGAGCACCAAGGTAGAGGACTAATATGGTAAGTCACGGATCATGTCGGCCCAATTCGCCGAGACAAAAAACACCAGCTGGCACAACTCCCGAGAAATGGCATGCATGCGTATTGCATCTATCAATTGTAGCCAGCGCTTGGAAGTGGCCACAGAATGGAAGGCGAAAGAGAACCTACACTGGAAACAGGACTCGCCTTGTACATCCCAACACCAGATTCGAATGATCTAGAATAAGCCTTCATGTCTGAACTAATACTAGAAGGGGATCTCGTGTTCGATCCGAATGAAGTGTCGGCCTCCATTGGAGTGGCACTGCACTGAACGGCAGTTAACATTGTGCTCTTGCACTTCCGCCCCACAGTAGCAAGTTGTGCAAGCCCCGAACATTTCAGGCACACGATCGTAAATACACACTCTTAGACCTGTGGAGAGCAATTGAGGTTAAGGGTGCAAGTGCAAGAAGCGGGAAAGCGTGAGAGAAAAAACTTGGAAAATGTCAGAAGGGAAAAGAGTGAGGAATGAAAGTCACTGTATAGTTTTCCTCGAACAAAGCTGAGCAAGGCATATAGTATGGCCCTCCGCCAGCTACTGTTGCACAAGGTGAGTGATCGGCAGCATGCACAGCAACCCGCATCCCAAGTACATGCAAAGAGATGGCTTTCCCATGCCCTCGTTGCTTGCATCCATGTTGACACACCAAACTGGCAAAGGGCACAATGCATCAGTGGGTCCATGTCTTACACCCCACCGCTGACCTTGAATACTCACCTCGCCACTCACCTAACCTACCCACCTCGCCTCCCCACCTTGCCCACCCAACTTGCCTCCCCACCTTGCCTCCCCGCCTTTCTTCCCCACCTTGCTTTACCACCTTGCCTCCCCACCTTGCCTACCCACCTTGCCCACTCACCTTGCTAATCGTCGTGCCACTGTTGCCGCTGCCATCCTTGCTCTCATCCTTTCCAATCTTCTTGCCATTGGTCCTGCCAGGGCAAGTGAGCTTGTGGGAGGGCCAGTGCGCCTTTTGGCACTCTCTGCTGCAATACGCCACCTTTCCACACCCACCACAGCTTCTCAGCTTCACACCACCACCCTCCACTATCCCACACCCTGCAACACCGCACGCACGTTCCCCACCAGCGAAGGGACCAGAGCCTTTAGTGGCTGAAACGGATGCACTGTTTTGTGAAACTCCGGTGGCTGGAGCAGCAAGGGAAGAAGGGGTACCAGGAGAGGCAGGGCGGTAGCACGGCTCCCCCAGCAGCATCTCTCGCAGACATGCCAACAGATTGATTCCCCCTGGCCATGGCTTCAAATAAGCAGGCACCTCCTCCATTTCTCCATTTCCCTCGCTGTTGATACGGCAGCCTCCTTCTCCACCACCACCACCGCTGCCGCCGCCGCTGCTGTTGCCGTTTCCCATGCTTGTGTGACTACTTCTCATGCTGCTACTCCTAAAGCTGCTGTCCTCGCTGCTGCTGCTGCTGCTGCTGCCACAGCCACTGGCAAACCCTCCTTGACCCGGCGGCATGTCTTCACGTAACCTCGAATTTGCAGCCTGGTTCCAAATGTCAACTCCCCACTTTCTCGGTTGCTCATCGCTGCTGCCTCTGCCGCACGTCTCATCCAATCCCGGCCTAAGAAGCTTCGTGTTTGACCGCCAGGCAGTAAACATACAGAAACACCATGATCGCACCTCCTGCCACACATCCCCATCTCCCTCCTTATCATTGCCCAAATCCTCTTCCGCCCCACTCTCACCAACTTCCTCCTCAGGGCCAATGAGTCTGGTTATGGCCTTGGCATGATACAAGGCAACGGCTAGCAAGAAGAAGACAGGCATCTCTTGCACCTTGTGACGCATCACGCTCTCCCTCATGCCTGAATTTGTAGGTAGCCAAAGCACCTGCTCTGCCCTTTGGCGCATCCCACTCACACCCCTCCTCATGCCTGCAGCCGCTGAAACATTTATTGATTTCATCTGCTCAACATTGAGGGGCGACCGCAGCAGCAGCGCCTTCAGCAAATGGTCAAACTCAGGGGCCTGGGGGGGAAAGGCCGCGAGAAAGCGGTTGAAAAGGGCTTCAATGGGGCGATAGGCGAAATTGGCAATGAGAGCGCAACAGGAGATGTGTTGGACAAAGGCGCTCAGGCACTCCATGCACTGGCTGCACTCTGGGGGCGAGATCACACGACCAAGAGAGTCCAGCACAAAGTCCACATCAGCCCTGCAGCGAATGATGGGCATGGCATCAACGAGTCTGCAGAGGACGGGTCTGTGGGCAATGAGGACGTGGGTGCATCTTGAAAATCGCCTTGCCCCTCCCCATGCCCTGTGACCATTTCATCGTTCCTGCTGCGACCCCCCCTCCCAGATCTCCTCCTCCTTCATCTTCCCCTCCCAGCCCTGCCAGTCCCCGCTGCTCTCTCTGCCTGCTCAGATGGCCTCGGCTCACCCTCCTCTGCCACCTCACCATCCTTAGTCGCTTCACCCTCCTCCTCTCCCATCCCACTCTCCTCCACAATACCCAGACCAAAGAAACGCGCACTTGGATCTTCAGGAAAATTGGTAGCAGCCACTCCTCGCCTTGGGGCCACTCCTCACACTCCATGGAAAAGGCGCTTTCCTCAAGAGGCTTGGGGACGGCGCCAAGCCTAAGAAGCAAGCTTCAAAGGTCCCGAAGTGGATGACGCATGGGCAGGACCTTTCCTTGTGGGCTGTCCTTGAAGGAGCGTTTCTCAAATATGAAATCCGAGCCGTAGATTCGGACCCACTACAAGATGCAACCGACTCGATAAGTTACGGCAGCTACAAAGTGGTTTGTGTTGACAGGCACGAGCCCAGGGGCGAGAATGGCACCCAGTTGAGGTACTCGAGATGCAGTGGCAGAAAAACCCTTGGCAACAGACGAGGAACTCGAGGCAGTAGAAGAATTGGTAGCACCTGAAATCGTTGAGGTAGGAGCACTGCTAATTCCAGGTGCGCCGGTGGCATCAAAATCCCTAGTTTCAGCCGCTACTGAAACTGGTGCTCGGTCAGTGCATCTTGCTCCAGACGCTCTTGTTGGTGTTAGGCCCCAATCTCACATTTTGTACTTGTACTTTTATATCCTAGTTTAGTGTAGTTTGCACTTTGTGTTTGGTTGGGTGTACACCCACATCCCAACCAAACCCAAATGTAATATCCAAGCAATCTCCAACCCACCAATTGGAGATTGCCTTGAGATTACCCTTGATTCCCTAGGATTGCCTCCTGATTCCCTCCTCATCCCTACCTTGCTCATTCCGGATGTACTTAAAGAGCTTTGAGCTCACTACTATAGTATCAATTCTAAGCCCGTTTTTGACATGGTATCAGAGCACCTCAACCGCATACGCGGATCGTGATCCTCTCATCTCTGCGGATACTTGTCCCGCAAACCTCGGGAAGCCATTGCCAATCTCGTCGCCGTTGATTCGCGACATTCATCGGCGGAATTTCTCCCGCCACATCTTCCTGTCACCATCGACGGAAACTTCTCTGGTAAGCGCATCGTCGGCGCTCTAACCTAACACTCGTTTTCATCAATTCGTCACTCTCGTCACTTCTTCTCCTCGTCGGGCCGCCGCCCGTCGCCCTGCAGCTTCTCGTCGGACTGCCGCCCGTCGCCATGCAGCTTCTCGTCGGGCTGCCGCCCGTCGCCCTGCAGCTTCTCGTCGGGCCGCCGCCCGTCGCCCCGCAGCGTCATCTTCGGGCTGCCGCCCGTCGCCCCGCATCTGCACTCCTACCCCCATCCCCCCTCTTTCCCGCAGCTGAACAGGTGCAGCAACGCAGCCGAGCAGCAGCGTAGCCGCGAAGCCGAGCAGCCGTGTAGCCGCGAAGCCGAGCAGCAGCGTAGCCGCGAAGCTGAGGGTGGTGTGTGGGGGGGTGTGTGGGAATAGGATTAGTAGGTAGTTGACACTAAATTGGCGTCTCAGTCACATTCTCCTTCAGGAACCCTAAACCTCAATATTCTCTTTCGTAAACCCTAAACCTCCGGTTCTTCAAAATCTCCTTTGGAGACCCCAAACCTCAAGTTCCTATCGGTGACTTAAGAGCGGCGCTCCGCGCGAGAAGTTAAGGGGTCTCCACCATGGCTTTCTCGGCTTCCACCATGGCGAACCCCATCACCCCGCTCCGCCTTGAAGCCGATGGCTCTAGCTCCAACTTCAAGGCGTGGAGCTACGGAGTTGACAAGCACCTCCTGAGCCGTGACGTGCAGGGCCTTGACCTCAAGGACGTCCTCCTCAACCATGGCAAGGGGAAACAGCCCACTCTTCCCCGTGAACCGACCGAATCTTCAAGTGATACTGACGTGAAGAAGTACCGAGGAGGCTGTTGAGAAGTACCGAAAATGGGAGAAGGCCGATGCTGCCATCATCAGCGTCTTCATCGCCTCCACCCCTCCCGAACTTGTCAACACGTTCCATAACTACCCTACCTCCAACGCCATCTGGAAGTACCTCCAGGATCGGTTCATGAACAAGACGGCGGTCGGCGTGGCCATTCTCATCCCTAGCATGTTTCAGGTCCGCCTTGAGGACTGCTCGGGAATGGCCGACTACATTGCCAAGGTGCAGACCATCCACGGCGAACTCAAGGAGCTGGGTATAGTCTTCCCCGAGCAAGCCCCTGCAGCCGCCCTTCTTGTTGGACTCACCTCGGCTTATGAAGTCACGAAGAAGATGCTCCTCACACTCTCAGCAGAAGACCTCACATTTGCTAAGGTCTCCACCGCACTCCTCTCTGCTGAGAAAGATTCCACTGCTCAGGCCAAGGCATACGCTATCCGCGCTCCCATGCCTCAAGCAAGTGTCGCAGCGGCTCTCGCCTCGACGCCCTTCCAGCGCAACCGCTTTCCTCCGTGCCCCTACGTCGTCAAGTACGGCAACCGCAAGGGACAAGTGTGTGATGGCACTAACCACCCCCTTGCTACGTGCTTCAAGAAGAAAGACGACGAGTGGTACGCCATCCACGGAGTTGACAAGAAGCCGCCGAATTGGATGCGCTCTCGTAAGGCCAACCTAGTTGAGGCCCAGGACCCCGCTTCGGCTAGTACTAGTGATGCTGCTTCTTCTTATGTGCGTATCAACCTGTTGTTCCCTGGCACTGCCATGATTAATGAAGCTACCTCACAGTACATCGGCTCATCACAAGCACCACAATACATCGAGTTCACACTCGACAGCGGGGCCACTCACACTGTGCTCAAGGAGACTCTCTCCTTCAAACCTTACCCAACACCTATCCCTCTCTTAGGAGCTGACTCAAGCTTCACCACCCTCGCCAAGGGTACCTCCACAGTCCCATGCCCCGCCTTCCCATCCGGCACTGTCACTGGCATGTGCGTGCCTTCACTTCGTCACAATCTAGTTGCCCAAACGGAAATCCAGGAAGCGGGGCTACACACCATCTTCCCCGAGAACGAGAACTATTGCGACATCATCAACCCACGCACCAACAAAACCCTTGCGCGCTACACCCTCAATAGCAACGGCCCCTACACGCTACGCGTCCCTCTCCCACAGGTGTCAACCACCCAAGCACAAGCCACTATCACACCATGCTCATGTCGCACCCTCTCCAACCCGACCATCCTCTATCACAATCGACTCGGGCACCCAAATTTTCGCACTCTTGCTGACATGGCCTCCAAGAAACTTCTCCTTGGCCTGCCAGCCGCACTTCCTCCACCACCTGACTCACCAGCTCCCCCGTGCCTTGACTGCACCAAGAGCAAACTACGCCAACAGCCCCATCCTGCCTCACCCACAGTCGCAGCGGCCCCACTGGACCTCGTGCACATGGACGTCTGGGGACCTGCCCCTGTTCTCGCGCGCGGTGGCTATCGCTACTTCCTTGTTATCGTGGATGACCACTCCCGCTACGTCTCTGTTCACCTCCTCCATACTAAGGCTGAGGCTCCAGAGGTCATCATCGCGTGGGTCAAGCAGGCACAGACCACCTTTGACCGCAAGGTCAAGCGCCTTCACTCGGATGGGGGGGGTGAATTCTGCAACGACAAGCTCAAAGCCTTCTGCTCCTCCGAAGGCATCCAGCAAAACTTCACCCTCCCAGACAGCCCGCAGCAGAACGGCATCGCCGAAAGCCGCAATCACACCCTGGTGCAAATCACTCGGTGCCTCCTCAGCCACTCCAATGCCCCACACTCTCTCTGGGGATACGCCCTCTACCATGCTGCCCTCCTCTACAATCTTTACCCCCACCCGCATCTTCCCGACACCACTCCTACCACACTCTGGCTCGGGAAAACACCCACTGCTCGCTCTCTTCGCGTTTGGGGATGCACCGCCTATGTCCTCCTCAACCCTCAAGCTCGACGGCAGAACGGTGGCAAGCTCGGTCCCAAGACTCAGACGTGCATCTACCTTGGGCACAACGCCGACTCACCTGACTACCTCTTCCTCAATCCCTCCACTCAACAGTTGGTCAGGAGCCGCGACGTTGTGTTTGATGAGACCCGCCCATTCTACTCCCGTTCGGGACGGGACCCTCTCCCTGATCCACCCTCCCTCGTGTGGGCAGACTTTGACGCGCCTCCCGACCTCCCGCCTGCTCCTGCCCCCTCACCTCCTCCCTCTCCTGCCATCGCACCATCCCCCTCTGAGGTCTCTGACCCGGCCTCACTGGTGTCTTCGGCAGCTCCTCCCCCCTCTCCCTCACCCTCCTCACTTCCAACTACGCCGCCCCCTCCGAGCGCACCTATCACCTACCATCGGCGGTCCCACCCTCCGGCCCCACCTCCTCCCCCGGTTCCCCCCACCACAGAGGAACCTGCTCTCCCGCAGTCGCCCGAGCTGATCACGTACCGCCGGCGGCCCATTCCCCCACCCAAACCTCCTAAGTCACCCTGCCCGACACCGCCTGCCCCACCCTCCTCACCGGTGGCTCATGGCACTCGCTCCCATCGCGCTGCTCTTCCGCTCGCAATGGTTCTTCGATACACATCGATCACACCGCCTCCTCCTGCTGGGGGGGATGTGCCCTCTACCCTTCTAGAAGACAGGCATGAGGAGCTGTGTGATCTCCATGCAGTCATTCCTCAGCTCTCTCACATCTTCCCCGACATCACTGGCTTACCCTCCCTCAACTTCGCGGAGAACCCGACCATCCCTATCCCTCTCACCGTCCAAGAGGCCCTCTCAGGCCCTCATGCGGCCGAATGGCGTGCTGCCATGGACGCGGAGATTGCAGCATTCACTCGCAACCACTCCTTCGACGACGAGACTCCACCTCGAGGAGTCAACATCGTCGGGGGCAAGTGGTTGTTCCGTGTTAAACAGCTCCCAGACGAGGCACCGGTATTCAAAGCGCGTTACGTAGCCAAGGGCTTCACCCAGCAGCAGTACCGCGACTTCGACCTAACCTTCTCCCCCACATCCAAACCTCCCACCATTCGAACGCTCATTGATGTTGCAGCTCGAGAAGACTTTGAGATCAAATCCATGGATGCCTCCTCCGCCTTCCTACAAGGACGTCTCAAGGAGACAGTGTTCATGGACAGACCAGAAGGCTTCCCAGGAGAATTCCCTCCCAACACTGTCTGGAAGCTGAATCGCCCCGTCTACGGCCTTAAGCAAGCCCCTCGCGAATGGCACAACAAGGTGAAAGAAGTCCTCCTCTCCCTGGACTTTCACCCTTCAACTGCTGACCCGACTCTCTTCATCCGCCGTCATTCTGAGCCATTCTACATCCTAGTCTACGTGGATGATTTCATCCTCGTTGCCAAGGACTCGGCCCAAATGACCTCAGTCCAGGCAGCCCTGAGCAAGGCCCTCCAGATGAAAGACCTCGGCGACCTCAAGCACTACCTGGGAATGGAGATCACTCGTGATCGCAAGGCTCGCACCATCTCACTCTCCCAGGAGTTCTACATCGACAATGTGCTCAAGCGGTTTGAAATGGAGCTGTCCACACCTGTTGCCACCCCACTGCCGCTGCAACACCTCCTCACAGCTCCAGCTGTACCCACACCAGAGGCCTGCTCCGAGCCATACCCGGAACTTGTTGGGTCCCTCATGTACGCCATGATGTGCACCCGACCGGACTTGGCCTACCCAGTCAGTGTTCTCTCTCGTTACGTGGCCCCTGGTCGCTTCACTGATCTTCATTGGAAGGCAGCAAAGCGGGTGCTGCGCTATCTTAAGGGCACCAAGTCTCACGTTCTCACACTCGGTGGGCTCTCCCCTCCTCGCCTGGAAGGCTACACAGACTCCTCCTGGGCTGATGACCAGACCGACCGACGCTCCTCTCAGGGGTACTGCTTCACCCTTGGGAGCGGAACTGTCAGTTGGCGCTCCACCAGGTCGTCTGCAGTCTCCCTCTCCTCCTGTGAGGCAGAGCTCTACGCAGGCACCATGGCTGCTCAAGAGGCCCGTTGGCTCACCTTCCTACTCCAGGAGCTTGGCTTCCCTCAGTCAGCCCCCACCCTCTGGTGTGACAACCAGAGTACCATCCACATTTCTCAAGACCCTGTGTATCACACCCGCACCAAGCATATTGAACTTCGGCACTTCTTCATTCGTGACCTTGTGCAACAAGAGCAGCTGAAGGTGGAATACGTGGCGTCTGACTGCAACCTGGCTGACCTGTTCACCAAGCCCCTTGGAAAGGTTCCCCACCATCATCTCCTTGGCGCCATGGGGCTCTGCGCTCCTCCTCCGCCATGCGTTCGATTGACGCCTAAGGGGGGGTGTTGGTGTTAGGCCCCAATCTCACATTTTGTACTTGTACTTTTATATCCTAGTTTAGTGTAGTTTGCACTTTGTGTTTGGTTGGGTGTACACCCACATCCCAACCAAACCCAAATGTAATATCCAAGCAATCTCCAACCCACCAATTGGAGATTGCCTTGAGATTACCCTTGATTCCCTAGGATTGCCTCCTGATTCCCTCCTCATCCCTACCTTGCTCATTCCGGATGTACTTAAAGAGCTTTGAGCTCACTACTATAGTATCAATTCTAAGCCCGTTTTTGACAGCTCTAACCACTCTCCCTTTTTCACTCATCTCCCATCTCAGCCTATTCCGAGCCTCCTGAATTGCTGCACTTTCCATTTTTGTCTTTATTGCATTGTTCCCGTCCACAATGAACGGCTGATCTTCACGGAACTCTGGCTTGGAGAACACTGTAGCAACAGCAATGGAAAAGTCAGTGGCACCCATGCCACTCACATACATGCCTTTCGGGACATCTTTCCCTTCCAAACTACTGGTGCTACCACCAACGCTACTGCTTCTGCCACCGCCATAGCAGCTGTTGCAGCTGCTGCCACCACCGTTCGTGCTGCTGCTGCAACCCTCACTGCATTGGCTGCACCTGAGCCCCCTCCCTTCCCCCCCTCCATGCTCCAAAATCCAAGCCATGCCATCCACATACCTCTCCCACTCACGCCCCTTCAGATGCTCTCTCCATCCAACATCCCTGAAAGTTCTGGCCCCATTGCCCGCACCTCCATCCCTCCCCTGACTGCCGCCGTTCCCGTCTCCTCCATCCTCCCTAACCCCTGGGGCCGGCAGAATTCCCCCCAGGCCCACCGTACGGCCTCCTCCAATGCTCTCTACTCCCCTGCCACCTCCCATCAGCTTCATCGCAACCGTTGCAATTGGCCCCGCATTGCCCAAAGCGAAAGCTCTCTTCCCTTTCTCCCGCTTCCCCTCTGCCTGCACCTTCTCCACGCTGTCACGCAGAAGATGCTGCATGAAAAAGCCGAACCCTTCCTGCAGATCAGCACTCTCCTTCACCCCCAGCACCTGCACCAGCGTTGAAGCAAAGCAGTCCTGCTCCTCCTGCCTGCACACCCCAAGCTCAGACACAAGAGCCGCCAATGTTGCAGAGGCTGTGTCTATGCGGGCCTTCCATAGAGTTGCAACACGGGGTGATCTTGCCACTAGCACGAGGAAGGTAGCGAAGCTGACAGCACGGCGGTAGGCAGCCCAGCAGCTGCTGCAGCGCCAGCAGAAGGACCACGCTGGAGAAGCATCGCAGGTAGCAGGAGAACCAGCAGGGACAGATGGAGCAGCGGGGTTTCCAGCAGCACACGCGGAACCCAGGATCGCGGGCAGGCTGGATCTGATTTTCCCCAGGTCCATGAGCACGTCCACACGAGGCTCAGCATCCACTCGAGCAGCATGGCTTGCACGCAAAGGTGAGGCGCCCACTCACACTTCCAAAAGAACTGCTCACGAGGCGGGACTCCCTTCTCCCCCCCCTAGCCGCTGCAGTGCTACGCTCCCGGAGTACTCAACAATAGCCTTGTCTGGTCGATTCGGGGGTACAGCAGGTATGGAGGGAGGCAGAACCAAGTGCAGGTGCACGAAATTAGACCTGGGGCCAAGTATGCCAAGAGCATGCTCAGCCCGGTAGGCCACTGCGCGGTCGAAGCACCACTCGCACTCGCCCGCGTCCCACCAACCTCTCACGTCCAAGTAGTGAACCATGTCCGCCCGGCTCATCAGCTGAAGCTTCTTGGGTGCTTTCTGAGCCCCGGCTCTCTCTCATCGCCTGTGCTTTTTGTTCTTCAACTTCCCACCCTCTGGCATTTGGAGGTCCCATTTCTTCAGCGCTGCCAGATGTTCCGTCAGACCGTGCTGGCGCCACGCTGCATCCAGGTCCTCTTCGTCGTCTCCTATCTTGCCCGCAAGGATCAGCTTATAGAGATAGGCGCAGTCCGAGCCACAGGGCCCAATTGGGGGGACATTAGACGTGTGATCTGAATTGTTACCATCACGCTTTACTTCTGCTTCTTTTCCTCTCTGCTGCTCCTGCTCATTGCTGCTGGAATTACGATGACCCCAATGGAAAGAGTCAACCGGATGTGAAGCTGCAGCAGCAGAAGAATGAAGATTCGCTTCAGTTGCAGCAGTAGCCGCATCGACCCTCTTCTTGCCTTCGTCCTTACCACTCTTGCCCTTCTCTTCGTCCAGTCCCTTTCCATCCACTGTCTGTGCAGGAATCACTTTGATGATTGTTTGCCGTAAGCTTCGCCGCCTGCTCGACGGTCATGTCAGGGGAAAGGCACTCTACCCGTCCAAGAACTACAAAACGGACTTTTATGCGTCCGATCCGTCCCTCCCTTCTTTCCATCGTTCTCCGCTCCCTGTTGTTTACTGATGTGGACCCCAAGATGGCAAGCAACAGTTTGGAGGTGGAAGTGAAACAGTCTGTTGGAAACCGCACTAAGAGGCTTCTTTGAGACAGCGACGCGAAATTCTACGAGGGATGACGCAGATTGTCTATCGCTGATAGTGACGTCAGCCTGGCTGGTGCATGCTGTCTCTTCGCTTCTCAGTGGTTCCCTAATTCTCGTCGAAGCAAGTCCGCTGAGGATCTGAATCGAACATTAAAGACATGTCTCTAGGCGAAGCTGTCACCGTCTTAGCCACATGTCACGTTTGATTTCGTGGAAGTGATTGCCGAAGCGCACTGTCAACTGTGTTAGGGGGTGTCATATATTCCTCAGTCCACACTAAATTAGGGTTTGACACTTCAGGGCCCGTTCTTGCTGGTTTGAGTTTGGATTTCTGGTTTTCGGCAACAAGGTGTTACACAGGCGCGATTGCAACAGCTTTCACCAGCGAAGACCGTCAAATTGCCTTACTTTGCGCATCATGCCTGAACCGAATCGACAACAATGTTGAGCCGATTCGCTGATCCAAAATTTGAATAGGCCCTCAGTACTGTTGCTTCTGTGGTCGCCATGTTGACTAAGAAACTAGCCGAGCTCTGCTCAGGCGTTCTTATCAGCCCTGGCGTCGATCCAGCAGGGTAGAGTGTGTGACAGTGGGGTTTCTTTTCATACCGCCTCGATAATTTTGGCATGGCCGACATTAAACCGCCGATCACTGGCCACGAACTTCGCGGCTATATTGAAAGACGCCCCTGATACCGGCGGGAAGGTTTCGTGAAACGTAGTCATTGCCGATAAGCAACGGAAACGCGGCAGTCTAAGAAACCCTAAATCGAGGTAGGTTTCGTTATGTTTTCCTGGTCGTCCCTCTGCATTGAAAGCCTTGAAGCCTGAGGCTCACAGCCTACGGTGGTGCTCGTAGTTCTGTCAGAGCAGGTAAATGTGCATTTTTAGGTTACAAACGAGTCCCTTGCGATTTTTTCACACCGCCAAGAAACTAGCAGTGTTCCTTGACACATCCATGCCCCTGGTAGCATTGCCCCGGCCTCTTTCCATGCTGCTGTCCCTCGTCTCGTCAACGTTCATGGAGTCACTGACCCGAACTGTCATTGACCTTACTTCTAACCGACCTAGCCTGTGACCCATCACCTCGGCTTATGACCAACGTGACCCAGCCTGTGACAGACCCAGCCTGTGACCAACCTATTCTGTAAGTGACCCAGCCGTGAATGTTTTTGCCCTTGATTGACCTAATTTGACAGGCCTAGGCTAGACACGTGCACAGGCCGAGGCGACTCAAGCTCAGAACAAAACGAGTCGATCAACCTCACTCGGCTTCTTGGGTCGAGTCGGCCCTGACTCGAGTCAACTCGCGAGTCAATTCGCGAGTCAACGTTGTCTCGACCTGAAAATGCGGCGTTCCAGTCACATTTAAAGGAGCGCGTTTTCTTGGGGCTAAAACGGGTAGAGAGAAATTGCGCCTCTGTCATGAATCACTACAAGCTGGAACGATCACTTGGCGGTGCCAAGATAGTAGAAAGAATCTCAAGCTGATTGCTTGGCGGCACTAAGGTGAGAAAGACCTGAAGTGAACCGCTTGGAGCTGAAGCAAGAGCATTTATGCGGATCGGTTGGCGCTAAAGGAAAGCAATTCAAGTCGGACAGATTGACTTGAAGAAAAAGACAAGATAAGGCAAAAAACTCGAGCTTGACAAATTTAAATCCTGTTTCTGAACTAGATTTGCTTGGCCCATGTAAGTGCGACAAATGGGTTGTCATGACAAACCTACTCGACTAGGCAGGTGTGTCGTGCTGTGTCGAATCACCAACCCAGCGATCAGGAAATGTCAAGTCGAGTCGGGCAATGCATGGCCTATTAGGCCTAGCCGAAATGACTCGATTCGTGTCCAGTCAGATAAAAAAGAACTGAGTGGACTCGACAAAGAGGCGAGTTGAATTAGCTGAGTCGAGTCAAACCTGGACTCACTGCTTGTGACTAATCTAGCGTGTGGTAGGCCTGGCCTATGGCCGACCTAGGTTGTAAGCGACCCATCTCATGACTAACTTAGCGTATGTCTGACCTAATTGTTTGTAACCCCACAAGTGACTATCCTAGCTTATGACTGACCTAACGTGTCTCGGACCTACCTTGTGGTTGACCAAGCCTGAGCAAACATTGATGAAAGTAATGCTCGCCCTGTTTTGCAACACCAATAAATCCCCTGTACAACTCTAACATGGAAACATTAATCTGCCTCCCCCCCTCCTCTTCCCCTCGCCCCCTTTCACCTCCGCCTGATGAATGAACCTTTACCCTTCTTCGAGGTTCATCTGCAAGTGTCCAAAACTGTGCGTGAGCCCCTGACAGTCTGACTGGCTGAGCCTCTGACTGACCGAACTTGTGTCTGGCCTACCCTGTGGGTGACGCAGCCTCACTTTGGCCCAGCTTGTGCTTCACCTAGCCGGTGACTGTCCTACCTTGTGACTGTCGTTTCTCCTAATGACCTATTCTGAGAGTAGCTAATGGCTAATCTAACCTGTCATCCCAGAACAAATCCAGCCATTCTCCTTCCCGCCAACGACCCCTCCGACCACTTCAATTCTCCCATTCCATTTCAGGTGTAATCCACCAGCTCAGGGGACCTGGCATGTCTCACGTTTCCCACCAACCTCAGTTGGTTCTACCGCTTCTACTTGCGACCCTCCTTACTTGCATCGATTTCAGGTTGTGGTGCAAGACACATTGAATACGCTAAAGACCTAGAAGCAGGTAAGACCTCTGTCTGACTTTGCTTTTCCAGTCTTCCTTTATTTCCGCTCTTCTTTCCGTACTTGACAGTTGCCTTTCAATAACCGCCATATTGTTACAACCGCTCTACCTCGGACTTCGTTGCTGCTCTGCTCGTTCAGCTCACATCTGACTTTCGCCACAACACCAGCCCTCTCTGCCGTTCTCTGTCTTCTCTGGTTCCTCCCATTGTCTCGTTGTTGTTGTTATTCCGTTTCACTCTTTCGGCAAAACTTTACCTATTTCTGCGATTTCATCCTACATATCTTATCCTGCCTTGCCTTGCTGCAATTTTTACGGTGTTCCTTCCAGCAGTCCCTGCTGCTATGTCTTGCCTCTCCTGAAATCTTGTCTTCACTTTCTCCTCCTGGCCTTCCCCGGCTTGTTCTACTGCAATGGATGAGTGTGGATAAGCTTCTCCTCTCACTACTTGATACAGACATGTGCTCAACCCAGTCTCCCACATCTGGTTGTCAAGTCCCTCTTCCTCTGCTCCGTACCTGCTGTCTTACTCACATCACTGCCTCATCCCCCATTCCTGTGTAGTAATTGGTATCGTTTGTGCGTGTACTGACCACGCCCCTTGTTCCAATTTTCTGTTTACCTTCCCTCTTCCGTCGCAAGAAACTCACTCCTGCTCTACCGTGGTTTGTCCGCTTTCGCAGTCGGCAGTCACTAGCAAGGGTTGTAGGGGAGTGAATGCATACTATGGCTGCTGAGAGAGTGACGACTGCAGTCAATGAGTTGGTCAGAGAGGTGGTGCTGGCAGCAGTGAGAGAGGAGCTGGCTGCACACAAGGAGGAGGTGGATGAGCTGCGGCACATGCTGACAGCAGTGAAGGGGGGGTTGGCAGCGGTTAAGGAGGAATTGGCAGCAGTGAGAGGGGAGTTGGCAAGACACAAGGAGCTATGGGCTGAGAGTAGTAATAGGTCACTGGATGTATGCGGGGTGGGAGGGAAGAGTAGAAAGAGAACGCAAGATATGAGATTGGAGTTTGCACGGGAAGATGAGGGGGCGGAGGTGCAGGAGTTGTGTTGGCCACGTGATTCTGAAGGTTTGACAGCCTGTAAGGACCGGCAGATGACACAAGACCTGAAAATTCGCCAGAGTGAAGGCGATCACAAGACTGCATGGCTGGTGAGTGCTGAGTGAACCTGTTTCTCAAGTGAGGGCATGCATTGCTTGCTACTTCCTTCTTACTACCGTGGTCATCCATTCCTTTGTCATGTTTTCCCTCTTCGCCCATTTCCCCCAGGCAATCGATTCAGCATCAACGAGTCACATACCCATGCTGAACCTCCAGTACCTTCACAGCCTCTCAGACGCCATGCTCGGCCATGTGTCCACAATGACACATCTGAAGAGCGTTGACTTGTCCTCTAGCTCTTGTGCCAGTGCAGAGGGCATCAAGCACCTCTACAGACTGCAACGGTTGGAGAAGCTCAACTTCAGCAAATCGGACGTCTTAGACTCTGCCTTGGAAGGCATTGGGTCTTTGACCACCCTCAAGCAGCTCTTGCTCTCGTTTACCAAGGTGA